GGGGCAGGGGAGGGGAGAATGATCGCTTGGGACAATTTCCTGGTCACAGGAAGAAAACAACACACACCGACGATGAGAAGGAAAGTGAGGGGGGTGAGGCGCCCACAGGTCGATGGGTGCAAAGATAGGGGCACCCCTAAAATGAAATTACGAGAAACATCAAAAACATCGCTACATATCAAGAGTGACAGTGTTCATTTCTAGTCCAGCCACGTGGAGACGACCCTCTAAAGCATTGCAGAACACCCAACCGCCTCCCAGCCCTGCGGTGTCCTCCCCACGAGGGGCCGTAATCAAATTCACCTGACCAACAGAGTGGCCTCCGGAAATGGACTTTGCGAGTAAGGTGGCCAGATTCAGCAAGTGAAAGGACAGGACAACCAGTGAAATTTGAGTTTCAAACAATGAACAATTTTTTAAGTAGAAGTATATTCATGCAATGTTCGGAGCACATTTAGACTGAAGAATTATCCAAAAGTCAAATTTCACCAGGCAGTCTGTATTTTATGTGGCAACCCTATTTGCGAGGTCTGGGAAAGGGTGGTGAGGATGCCAGGAAGACCCGCAGGCGGCATCACGGCTCGGGGAGAGGGGTGCTGAGCCGTGGGCCCGGCCCGAGCCCCTCGGCCTCTAAGCCCTACGAAGTACATGATGCCCTGTTGTTCTTCGAGCTGGTGCAGTGGACTCGCTGGCCTTGCTGATCATCTTCAGGAAGGAGGGAATAAGTATGAGCCTGGCAGTCCTGGGCTCTCATTTATTGTACCACCTTTTCACTCTTGTCCCCAGCACACAGTGTTTTGTCGAGTGGATCACAACCTGTCCCCAGAGCAGGAGTGAGCATGGCCGAGGGCTGGCTGGTCTGGGGCCCAATCCTGACTGTGCTGCAAACTGACCTTTGGCAGGAGCCTCAGGCAGAGGCCTTTCTCCAGCCAGCCACGCGGGAGTGCGGGAGGTCTCCTGGGGGCAGATCACCTCCCACCTGGTGCCCCTAAAGTCCCCAGACACTCGCTCCAGGGTGGAAGGAGCTCTTCAGGCCAGCCCGGATTTGCTTACACAAAGTAGCAGGGAGAGGCCAAGCAGGCCGGGGCTCTCCCAGGAGGTAGT